TTAAGTAAACAACTATTGGTAGATTTTAACTAAATAATTTGCAAAAATGTAAATTGAGCTCTTTGAGAATCACATGAAGTTTTACAACATAAAATAATGAGATTACATTAACTATAATGAAATCTATTTATAGAACTAAAACTTGATTGTATTGACAGAATTGAAATATGCTAACAAAAGTTGTAGAACTGATCTAGAAGAAAACCTATGAAGGCAAAGGAATAGACCTTACAAAAAAACAATTAAAACCTAAAACTAGAGAGCTTGAGAGCTAATCTCCTAATCTAGAAGTTAAATGAGAGAATGACTAAGGCATTTTGCAAAGTAAATTGTGTAGTTTTTTCTTGAGAGGGGCAGGCCTCATTTGAATGTGTTGCTTCTTCATATTTGTAGCTGATAAATCTCCAAAAAATGGCTTGTAACTACCAAAAACTTAGCTACAAATATGTGGTCAAAACTACATGTTCTAATCGGACATGTCAACAGTAGACTTAGTAAAAAACTACTCTAGAATTTGCCATTCGTCTGCCACTCAAACAATTTAACCTTCCACATCTCGCGATGGCTACACTTGGCTAGTAACTTCCCTTAAGATCTGGCCATTATCTCCACTAAAATCAAATAATATCATATTATTAAGAGATAGTTACCAACAATTATAGATCTAGCATTTCACGTGGTAATCATCAATAAGGTCTATCATGCTTTAGATCATAGCAAATCAAGTTTGATGTGGCTTAATCACAACCACTTGTTTAAATCTCATGACACACAGTATCTTCTAATAATTTTGCAATTTGTGGTGGGAACAATAGTTAATCAAATTTTAAATTTAAAAGAATTAATTAATTTTAATAGAGTCATTTTGGGTTGACCTAACTCCCTAACCAAATTTAGTTTGATCTAGGTAATTTTAGTTTGAATCATATTAGATTCTAAATTAATATTTTAGATTTATAACTTGACCCATAACAAATAAGTCGCGTAAAATTTTTGGATTAAGTTCAATTTTGCTAGATCTACTAGTATGGAAAGTGGTTGTATATTTTTAATTTATGAAATGCCTCCAGCCAAGAAATAACTTTTAGCATATATTTGAAAGGCTTAATGTCACTAAAAATCCCCCTACTTTTCAAATGGAGTCATTGTTAGTTATCCTTCTACTTTAAAAAAATTCATAAAAATCCCTCAACTTAAGAAGAAGGGCAAGCATCAGCCCTCGTCATAACGCCGTTATTCACCTTGTAAAATCCTCCAAAATTTATTGGTAAAAAAGCAAGTTGGACCCTCAACTTTTAGTTCCAATGTACGTTGATTCTCAAACTTCAATTTTATTTAATTTGATGCCTAATTTTAAATTTTTAATTACACTTTAGTCCCTAAACTTTTTAAAGAATTATACTTAAGTCTCAAATTTTCTTATTTCATATATTCTAATATTTTTTTTGTACAAATAATGAAAATCGTGTAAAATCCAAGAAAATTGCATTCACCTCTTCCAAAAATTAATAAAATTAAAGTAAAAATAGTAAACTAAAATATATAAAATTCATTCAATCAAATTAAAAAATCACGTCTTTAATACCTAATTTAGAATCTTTAAAAAACAAAAAAAATGATATTTACCACTCTACATGCATATAATTCACAAAAATAGAAAAGAACAACAATATGATCAACAAAATGGTTAAAAGAAGATGCTTGCCTTCTTTTCCTTGTTATATACTCATAACTATAAAAATTGTGTCTAAAGTTATCATTAGTTTATGATGTTCACAAAATCATATTTTGCCTACACTCACAGGTCATATCCACACTCTACAATTTTATCACTTTGGTTGTTACACAATTTCAAATTGGGTATCAAAGCATTTTTAGGGCAAGTGAATATCAAAAACTTAATTTTGCACATGGATTATATGAATTTCATATATTTTAGTTTGCTATTTTATGCTTGATTTTATTATTAATATTTGAATGAATTTAATGTGGTTTCATTAGAAATTACATAATTTTTATTATTTATTCAAAAAAGATGGAATGCATAAAATTAAAAATTTTAAGACTCAAGTGCAACTCTTTCAAAATTTTAGGGATAAAGTTTTAATAAAAAATGAAATTATGGATCAAATTGAATAAATATAAAGTTTGAAGACCAAAAGGCATATAAAATGAATGTTAACGGACCAACAATGTCATTTTACCGTTAAGTTTTTTGAGATTTCTAACAACAGGATTCACACTGTTCGGATGCCCATGATGGTTGGCTCTTTCTCCAAAGTTGAGGTATATTTTTGAATTCTCTTAATGTAGAAGGATGAGAATGGCTTTTTTGCAAAGTTAGAGGATATTTAGTGACATTAAACCTATTTGAAAATAAAACTTTAGATTCAAGTAATTCAATTAGACAGAAATTATGGAAAGTACTTAAATTTTTTTACTTTATTAGTAAAGGCCAGAAAAGAGTAACACAATTAGACTTTGGGAAAAAGAAAAAAAAAACAATATTTTGATAGAAATTTATTATTGTTACCCAATTGGATGGAAAAAAGTAATCCAGGATTGACTGGATCAAATCAAGAATTCAACCAAAAAAAGAAAGGGAGGGGTGGGGGTGATGATTTCAACTTTGTGGGCATCGTGGCACTCAAAATTCCCTTGCAATGGGAATACTCATTCTACCAAAGTTATGTTCTACATTTAGATCAACAAGACAACTAGGACAACATGTCCTCGACATGGTGTTTGAGGTGCCTAATGCGTAAGTATCCAAATGGCTCATATCACAAAAGTTATGTTAAACCACATACTAAAATAGAACAAATTCACTCAACAACAACACATAAAATGTTAAAAGGCTTAACACGTGGTTTATGCTTGATATTTTTGCATTAAATTATTTTTTTAGTGTTAATATTAGATGATATTACTGTCATATTCTCAATTATTAATATTATATATTTTTATCTTAATTGATTATTATATTATATAATTTATTTAAGAAATGAAAAAAGAAAAAGAGCAAAGTTTTGAAAAAAAATATAATGTAAAAGTATAATAGTTAGTTAAACTAAAAAAGTGTGATGTTAACTATTAAGAATATAGCAATTCCTCCCCTCCTTAATGTTATGGTTAGGTTGGTTTAATTTTTGCAGTATAAGACGTGTTGATTTTATAAAAGAATTTGGAATGATATTAATTTAAAAAGTTTAAACAATTTTTATATTCCTTAAAATTTTCTAATATTATTGAGGTTCCTTTGTGACAGCCTAGAATTTCACAAGAAAATTTTTTAGTTCATGTCCCTCGCACCATGGAATCCCTAAAATTCCTGCAAGGTTAGAGCAATTTGCCATCCCTATTCTCAATTAGCTAACTACAAAATTACAATAACCAAAAGCTAACAACAAAAATATTTATTGGCATTTTTTTGTTCACCTTCTTAATAGTTTTGAAAATATTTATTTGTTAATTTAATTTTAAAAAAATTCATGATGTTTATCTCTTACTATACAAATAACTAATTAATATATAGATGGACAATAAACAACAAATAACAAATACCAAATAACACATAATAAATAATGAATAATGAATAACGAATAACGAACAATGAATTATAGATCCAAACTAAATGTTTATCAAGACATCACCCTTCCAAATGAAAATAAGAATATACAGCTCAATTTTTACATTCACACATGAAATTTTTGTACACTTTTGTTACCATATTAATGAGATTAATGACTATCAATCAAATTTATAAAAAATTAGGAACAAATATACTTTAAAATTACATCATTTTAATAAAACACTACGAGAAAAGACTAAAGTATCCCTATGCAAACTTTAAAAATAATTAAGATATTTTAGTCTTTTCAAATAAAATTTTATTAAAACGATATAATTTTAAAATAAATTTCATTTAATTTTTTACAATACAGACTAATACCCACTTCCCTATTATAATTCTCCAATTAAATTCTCCCTGCCAAATTAACCTATATTGACTTTTAGTATTTGTTATAGATGGAAGGTTAGCAATTGTGGGAAATTACACCTAAGAGCCCATAGAATTCCAAACCTATTTCCAAAATAAGAAATGTATTAAAAATAAAATATGAAAAAAATGATTGAATTGTCAAAAATGCCCTGGATTTTATCTCCCTTAACCGACTTAATCAGCCTTTAAAAACGGCACCCAATTTTGAAATTCAATCAATTGTCCATCCCCACTGGAGAAACACACATTAGTCTCTGGAGCCTAACTATTTTCTTCTGATTCTGCCTGTGATTGTTGCTTTTGATTCGGTGACTCATGGCTTATGCAGCAGAGGCATCAACGAGTAGGATGGAGGAATTTGTTGCTGATACAGTTCCAACGTCGCAGCCACCCTCACCACATGCATTGGTTCCATCATCTTCTCAGGCCGTTGGAAACCACAATGGTAATGCTACGTCGAGAAAGGAGAATGAGGTGCAATTGGTTCCATCGTCTAATCAGGATGCTGGAAGCCACAGTGAGGGTGTAGCAGCGAGAAAGGAGAATGAAGTGACGATTCCATTAACATTACCTCAATCTATTGTCAAATCTGCACATGGTAACCTTCCTTCTACCGAGCTTCTGCTGCAGAACTACAGGAATTTCACTCGCCGCACAACTCCATCGAGGTTGATGTACTACGAGAATGGTGACTGGCTTGATTTCTCAAGCGAAGCTATGGACCAACTTCGTCCAGCGTTCGCCGACCACAAGGCGATAGTGGAGGTGTCGATTAACGGATCAAAATATCTGTTTGATTTCATGAGGATGCTTCAAATCGATTCCGAGACCAAAAATTGTTGGTCAATTTCATGGATCGATGAATATGGCAAGTGTTTTTTCCCTAAAGTCTCTATTGCAAAAGAGGGAGAGTACACGGAACAAGAGCAAAATAAAAACATTGAGAGTTGTGTTAATGCTAATGCTAACGCTAGTATTGCTCAAAAGGTTGATCTTGTTATCAAGCTTGATGATAGTTCACTGAAGCGGAAGAGAGCAGAGTTTGAAGCTATTCCTTCAAATCCAATCATGGCATTTCCAACTCCTCCAGTTAGTGCTCCTCCTGTCATTACTCGTCCGGTCAGTACTCGTCCGGTTAGTGCTCCTCCGATCAATGTTCCCTCGATCATTCCTAATAATGTCCCAAGAGGCCCGCGATTGGTGGAAGTTTTTAGGTGGCCAAAGACGATGATATTAAGGGAAGGTGATAAAGAACATGAGCTCATCAAGGATTACTTCTTGTCAGGGATAAGAAAATTTGACCCTGCTGCTAAGGTTACTGCCATTTACAAATGCACTCGTGAAGGAAATTTGGAGAAGGCTCGTTATGAACAGTTTCAGAAACAAGTTGATCTCACTAAGGCCATTCGAGGTGATGATGTTGCAAAAACAATCCATGCCTGGCATGGGGCTTCCGGAAGTGAAGTGGCTACTTTATTGACTTATGGATTTCAGTTTCCCACTAAGGTTCCTACGGCTGATGTTTATGGTGTTGGTGTCTATCTTTCTCCTGTAGGATTGGCACAATTGAGGTAATTGATTATATGTTTTAATGAATTTTTAGTGTGGTACTTGTTGGTAAATGATTTTCCTAGTTCTTAACCTTTGAATTATATATGCATTTCAGTGCTGACCTAGCAGAGGCGGATGAAAATGGAGAAAAACATATTATTCTTTGCCAACTTTTACTAGGAAATGTGGAAAAAGTGCCATTCGGATCTCAACAAGATCAACCTTCTGGGGTGGAGTATGACATAGGTTCAGATGATCCTAATAGCCCCTCTTGGTATGTGGTGTGGCCTTGTAATATGAATAAGCACATTCTTCCCGAGTTTGTTGTCAGTTATCAACCCACTGTTAATGTGAGAGGTATATTTTGCTTTCCCTTTTGTGGATCTTTGATTTTTTTGCTTCATGTATCCATATCCCATTTTTGAGTTTTTTTTATTAGGTAAATCTAAAGCAGACCCTGGCTGGGATGAGGCGATGCTTTCCAAGGTTCAAGGTGCTTTACCTCCTGCCCAATTTCAAGAAGTTTTGCATTTACACAAGATATACCGAGTAAGTACTAAGTAGATGGTGATCTGTTTTTATGAATATATTTTTCCTCATTGTTTCTATTAGGTGCCATTTAGAACTGTAAAACATGTGTTTTCTGACATACTTTAGGACTAATTACAGGCTGGGTTTTACACCAAAGATGCTTTCATAAAGAGGCTCCGATTGATTGTTGAAGACAATATCCTACAGACAATTTCGCCGGACGACGATGCCTAGGGTGACTTGGAAGAATTAGGTTAAGTTTTACTTAGCCAATCAAATTGATAGATCCTATCCTAATGTAATGTTACATTTCAACTAGGAGTAGTACAAAACCTGCAGCTATGGGAAACAAAATAAAACCATTTCTTAAAGAAAGTGTAATTTTCTGGCAGCTTAATGTGTCATTTGTCACTTTCATTCACTGAAAGACCAAATATTGAAGTTTGAGGTTATTATCAGTGCTTTTCAAAATTTAAGAATAGTTTTGATTCAAAAGTTGAGGGACTAAATTAGATATTTAACCAAAAAGAAAGGGGTGAGGGCTATGATTTCAACCATGTGGGCATCGTGGCGTTTAAAATTAACTCACTTGTAATGGGAATACTCATGCCACCAAAGTTATGTTCTACCTCTAGTTCAACAAGAAATCTAAGATAACAAGTCCTTAACATAGTGCTTGAGGTGCCTATTTAATGCGTCAGTATCCAAATGACTTATATCACAAATTTAAGTTAAACCACATGCGAAAATTGAATCAACTCACCCAGCAACAACATAAAACACGCTAAAGGGCTAAACACATGGTTTGTACTTAATATTATTGGATTAAATTATTATTTTTTAATGTTAATGTTAGGTGGTGTTAGTTATTGCTACACTTTTTTTTACTAATTTCATAACTTTTTATCTTAACTTATCATTATATTCTTTAATTCATTTAAGAAATAAAAAAAATGCAAAGTTTCAACAAAAAATGTAGTGTAGAGGTATAATAATTAATTAAGTTAAAAATTATGTGGCATTAATTAATTATTAAGGAGTAACCTCATCCATCAAAGTTATGTTTAGGTTGGTTTAATTTTTGCAATTTAAAATGTATTGATTTTATAAAAGAATTGGAATGACATTAACTTAGTAAGTTTAAACAATTTTTGTATATTCCTAAAAATTTTCTAATGTGATTGAGGTTCCTTGGTGACCCTCTAAAAGTTCACTAGAAATTTTTTCAGTCCATGTCCCTCGTACAATGGGAATCCCAAAATTTTGACGAGGTTAGAGCCACTTGTGCCATCTCTATTCTCGATCAGTTAGCTAACTACAAAATTACAATAACCAAAAGCAATTAACAAAAATATTGATTGGTGCTTCTTTTGTTCACTTTCTTGGTAGTTTTGAAAATATTTATTAGTTAATTTAATTTAAAAAATCCACAATATTATATCTTACTATAAAACTAATTAATTAATACATTAACAAAAAACAAAAAACAAATAATAAATACCAAATAACATATAACAAATAACGAACAACGAATAATAAATTCGAAAAAAATGTTTATTAGGACATCACTTTTTCAAATAAAAATAAGAATATACAACTCAATTTTTACATTCACATATGAAATTTTTGTATGCTTTTGTTACCATATTAGGATCTTCCAATTTAATTTTCCCTCCCAAATTAGCTTATATTGACTTTTAGGATCTGTTATAGAGGGAAGGTTAGCAATTGTGGGAAATTACACCTAAGAGCTTAGAATCCCAAACCTACTTCCCAAATAGAAAATGTAATAAAAATGAAATTTGGAAAAAATGGCCCCTTATTTAGATTAAAACTTGGAGGTTAAGTCAATATAGAAAATGGGAAAAAAATGATTTTATGGAGGTTAAAAAAAATGAAAAAATTGCTGCCATGATTAAAATTTGCATAAATTACAATTTTTTTTTTAAATATTAACAAAATAAAATAAAAAAAAGAAGTCAAATGAATTTTTTCTTAAAATAAAATGAAAAGAAAACATAGAATTTTTTTCATTAATCTGATAGCACTTAAGTAAAGAACAAAATTTTAGCACTCCAGTACTAACGCCCAAAAAGTAATGGTATAAAACAAAAGTCAATTTTCAAGAAAAAAAACAAAAACAAAAACAAAAGTCAAGAGGTGGACCTTTTTCAAAATATTGTTTGTCATTTATTTATTTATTTATTTATACTTATTTTTTGGGGGGAGAAATAAAGATTCATAGTAAGCAACTAGTCATGACTCACGAGCCCAACATTGTCCCTGCTAAATGACCATGAATTGTTAAATTTCTCTTAACCGACTTAATCAAACTTCAAAAGGAAACCTAATTTTGAAATTAAATCAATTGTTTGTCCCCACCAAAGAAACGCATATAAGTCCTCAGTGCTCGATCATTTTCTTCTTTAATTCGGCTTGTCATTGTTGCTTTTGATTTGATGACTGATGGCTCATGTAGCATAGGAGTCAATGACTAGGATGGCGAAATTCGTTGCTGATACAATTTCACCACAGCCACCCTCACCCCTCGCATGGTTTCCATCATCTTCTCAAGACACTGGAAACCTTAGAGGTAGTGCTACATTGAGAAAGGGGAAGGAAGTGTAATTGGTTCCATCATCTTATCAAGACACTAGAAGTCACAACAAGGGTGTAACAACAAGAAAGGGGAAGGTGTTGACATTACCTCA